TTTCAAAGCATAATATTGATGTTTGTGGCGACAATCGGCAAATACTACCTATCCTAAAAGATACTTCGCGCGCGGAGCTGATTAACATTGCTCTATTCGACCGTCGCAATCGATGATATGTGTCGACTGCCTCACGGCGATGACGTGCAGATGGGTAAAATGTGTGAGTAGGCGTATTTACTCTAGCTACACTGGGATTCCTCACCGATCTACGCATATTTCGTAGCATCATTGATACTGACCCGTCTTCCGTACAGCATATATTAGCTTTGCAACCACGCGCGCCTTCCGATTCGTGTCATTTTAGGAGCAATGCGCTCAAACGAGATTATAGACAAAACCTTCCCGGGTAAGATGGTGCTCTGCTTGCAGATCACGTTAAACTCTGGTCGTGTCTACCATAACATGTGAGCACTATAGATACTGTGTGCGGTGTTGTTTTGGAACGTAATATACGTAGATCACAGTATACATGTACTATATGTTGCTTTGCTTTGACTAGAAACTCTAAGCCCACCACAGTGCATCGGAGTCGGACAGCCCACACTACACCAACCAACCATGCTCTAGCGTCCGCGGAGCGGGCGTCCAGAGCGCTAGTTTCCCGCCACCTAAACTTGCAGCGTGTCTGTCCGTCCGTCCGTCCGTCTGTCAATCAGTCCGTCGCTTTCCTCTCTTTCTGCTTTTTCCTACCCTTTCGCCTGGCTGTCTAATACAGTTTCCTCCCATCTTACCGACCGCGCCTACCTTTCTGACTCGACCTAACTATGCCAAAAATTACAAATATATTCAAAAGCGTTACACAATTAACTCGCGCCCTGATTGGGCAATACCTGCCGACCTGCGACACTGACTGGATCTGTCGCACGATCAGACCGTCTCTCGCCCTCGCGATTGGGACGTGATGTAAACATTTCTGCCCAGCACGAAACGCATCGATTGGTTGCAAACAGCCAGGCGAGCTGCGCAGAAACTTGATTATTGCGCAAAACCTGTCGTATGTACTGCAAATCGGGCACACTAACCACTTTATTTTCTAAGAGCTCTGCACACTTCTCAAATTGAGATATTTATCATTATTAATGTAGACTTCACAGACCAGTATTTTGTAAGAGCTCAGGGATGTTATTTTCCACACACTTTTCAAAGTAAAGACGATATTGAAATTACTAATTTTACTAATATAAGCTGCAAGTACGTTGTGTTGCCTGTCCATTTGAGCAACATACACTGGGGTGTGATTATTGTCAGTATTTCATACCGGACGGCGATGGCGACAGTCACACCGTATTTCTACGAACCATTGTGCTCTACGTCATACAACGACACTCTTGAGCACACCTACGAGGCAGTAGTGGCCGAGTTTTTAAGAGTTTGGCACGATTCCACCATGCTGGGAGAGCCATATCCAATCGTTGAGGAGACCGTGTGGCTTTCCGGACCGAAGCAGCCCGACGGAACTTCTTGCGGTGTGCTAGTTCTCGCCTAAGTGTATACGATGCTTAAAAATAGCTCGCAATTTACCCGATGTGCTGTAAGCCATGACGACGTCACTATTATACGTCTTCGCATTATGTGGATGATCTTAAGGCAACCCGAGGTAACCACGAGAAAAAACAAGGTAGCGAAGGCGGTCCAAGACACAGATCTGGAACTACTGACGACAATTAAGACGTAGCATGTTGTGTTTCGGAAGCCAATTAATTGTAAACTTCTTACTCAATAACCCCACTCTGGTCCTCAAATCCTCAATGCTGCGTGTGGCCTAACATTGAGCTGCAACACTCCTCAAGCACAACCGAGTAAGACATGGCGTACTTTGAGCTGCGAATAGGAACCCCCGTCACGGCTGCAATGCGGGTGGTTTCCTCCTTTTCGAGTGAGATCAATGTAGCTAGCTCATCCTGCGCATTTAACAGCTTCGCCGTGTACTTGGCCAGTTTTTCAAGCTTCCCTTCCATTAGTTCAATCTGCTGAAGCCGGGACTGAAGCAGCTTTTGGCAAAGCTTGGCCTGGTGAGTTTGAAGAGTCTCCGCACCACCACGGCGAGCTGCAGCTAGCTCTAGATACCCCGAAGGCGCTGGGTGACTAGCAATAGCGCTCTTAAGAAGGTTGGCGTGGCTGATGTCGTCTTCGCTCATACTTGTCTCCTTTAAAACGGCCGACTGCGATCTACTAAGAAATTCACAATAGGGGCCAGAAACTTTTACGGTTCCCGTCATCTATCTCTTTTAAATTACGCCACGAGCGTATTTTATTTAGCAAATGTTGCTCTCTGTGGCTCTCCTTGTGTCGATGTGGTCTGTTGCGTTGCTATAAGAGCTGTTGTCTTGTCGTTGACGAGCTGCAGTAACGCCGTCCCTGCTGGTCTCCAGTACTAATCCACGTGTTTCTATTTCGGCGCGACAAAGCTCGCAAAAGATTTGCGAGCCTTGTAAGTGATGGTGCGCTTGATCTGTTCTCTTGCATGGGCGTGACGCTCATCGTAGTGCTGAATTACGTGGGGCAGTATACCCCCGAGACTAAAAATTTTGGTGTATACCCATGGTACAACGATGAATGGGCTGCGAAAGCGCTGAACGAATTCCAGATGGTACTTGTTGTATCGTGGTCCGATCTTGCCAGTCGAGTGATTTTTTCACTCGGTTTGCTTATGACAATAACCAACATGAAGAAGTTGCTGTGCCCCATTCCACGACATGGAAATCGAGTTGTAGACTCCAAAGACACATCGCTGGACATCCCTGAATCTGAAAAAGTAAAGCCGAATACCGTCCCAGGGATACCGAAGAAGCATCATGGAAGGAAAGCGAAGTGGTCGCGCTGGTGGCAAGTGACGATTCATGGTATACATCTCGTCTTCTTTATGTGGGGGGTTGGAGTTCTTAGTCTACACATCCATGCATCAGTGCAAACTTCATTGCAGCAGTGCACACTACAAGTGAGACCGTGGGCAGCTGTCCGCCCGTGCTGTTTCTTGGTATCACTCGATTGCCATCGCCTCCAAATTTCTGGTCAACTGGAAGAAGTCGACTCCAAATGGCGAGAATTTGACGGATCTACGGTGGCTCTGATGGTTATCAAACATTGTCCTTTGGTCGCGATCCCCGATACATTCAATAAATTCCACGAACTCATCAGCGTTAAAATATATAATTCGACAATCGTCGACTGGAGAGAATCGGCTGCAATTACGAATACGAACCACCCGGCATTTTTGACTCTTATGGTCGTTCGGACCAACATGACAAACGGACAATTGCCGGCAGGTTTCCAATCCATTGACACACCGGTCAACTTGTACGACTAGGAGTTTTGTGCTACTAATCTTCGTCAAGTTCCAGACGATCTCGACCTTAAGTGGCTAGCAGGATCGATTGTCATCATCGAATACAGTCAACTGCAGGTCGTTCCCCAAGCTCTATTACGCGTTATGCCATCCTATTTTTCACTCACCGGCAATCCCATCAGCGAACTTCCACCTGAGATTTTTGAGATTGAAGGGTTGACAGACCTGGGTATCGGCGATACAAATTATTGAGAGCTTTCTCAGAATGTGACTCAACTCTCACCAGCACTCTCGTCAATCTACGTAATAGGTACACGGATATCGCTCTTTTGGTCGTGGGTGGATGACATTCTCGGGCGGGACAGTATTCGAAGCATACCACGAGCGATCTATGCAGGAAGCACAATTTATTGTGACGATTTGTAGAGGATTTCGACGAAGTTAACCAGTTCTTTTAGTACTGTAACAAGTTCTGATTATTCTCTACAACTTATGGATCCAGCGGAGGCAGGTTTTGAGGGGAGTATCTGGTCGTTTGTGGACTGTAATCCTGCCATAAGTGGACTCAGTGGACCTCTATACCCCCTAGCAGCGGAGGACAAGCAGAATGCACTCCACAGTTGAACACCGGAGATACCATTTTGCACTTTGCATAACAGTTTTCATTTTATCCTTTTAAAGCAAAAGGCTTATTGAGGGAGACTTCTGTTCTGTACGAGCAAGGCTAATTTCTTGCACTAAAGTCCTACGTACCGGAATCGACGAAAAAAATGCAATACCGCGACCAAAAATCTAATACGACAAAAACCATGTGGATGACACCCCGCCCCAAGGAATAAGTCATTTTTTTAATTTTCACTATTATCGCCTTCCTCTTCTACTGTATCATAGTATTTTTGAGCTCGTCTCGTACCTCAACGACGAACACTTGGTTTCCACACCTAAATAGGACAGATACAAAAAAAATATATAAAGAAATAGAAATAAAATTCTATTTCAACAAACCTCATTTATCCATTCGAGCATCCACTCTTCGTCACAATACGCATTCTTTTGAGCTGTGAGAATAGCTCCCTTGCGATAATAGTGGTTACCAATCAACTCCTGGTGGGGTGGTCCGCTTCACGCGCCCGAAAAAACGACGAACGCCAAAAGCTTCTTCCCAAATACCGAAGCACGAAATGAATATTTATGCCTTTTTACCTTTTTACGATTTACTTGGGGTGATAATTTTACAGCGTTGCATTATTTTTTCGTCGATTCCGGTAAGCTATGTTGCGTGTAGAAAGCAATCTCTCAAAACATACCGGTTTTCTACAACCGGTGTAAAAAGTACCTTCAGGTCAAAACCGTAAAAACGGCGGAAGGCGTAAAATCTCGCACAAGATACTCCTGTCCATTTGAAACCGTCGCTTTGCTTAAGAAAAGGCGCGCTTTAACTGGGACACTGTTTTGATGCCAAACAGATTAATTTTGCAGACTTTTTACGGACCACTGGTTGCAAAAACTTGATCGGTTGCAAAAATACCGTACATTCCGGTACACGATTTAAGCTAATCCTGGGACGTTGTACAGTACAGAAGTCCCTCAAAGTAAGCGTAGGGGGACCGAGACACGATCTTAGAGGGTGATAAACAGATGTTTAAAAAGTACTGATATTTAGTTAAGAAGCGAGGCGATCTTGCTCCTGTCACAGAATGCCTGCGTGCCGCTAGCAGTTCTGAATGGTTTTGGGTGAGATCTCGTCGTAGGCCACCTTACTCCAACAAAGAGCGGTGTAGATATCTAGAGCCAGTGTCAGCCGATGTTTGGGGTCTTTGCGTCCAGAGAACACCTTCCTCTGCGTGAGAGTGTACTTAGCCTCGCTCCGAAAGAAGAACGAGGTCTCATCCATGTTGCAGATCTCGGACCGGGCGTACGAGTCCGTCAGCTTTCGAAGTTTCACACGTCCGGCTTCAGCTGCCTCTTGGTCAACTGACGCAGCTTCGCCGTGCTTCCGCTTCTTGGAGATTCCGTGACGCTCTTGCAATCTATACAGCCAGCCCTTAGAGAGCTTCAACGTGGTGTTCTCGCCATACACGTTCACGCGAAGAGCAATGGCCTTTATTACCTTGCCTGTGATAGCCTCCACCTTGCCGTCCATTGCCTTAAAGACCTTCATAATGCGAGCGTCCGTCTCCTGGATTTGGGGGCTGACGAGCTGCTTGCGCTCTAGCTGACAGGGCTCTATAGCGGCCCACTTAGACTCCCCAGCGATAACATTGCGAGTGGCATCGCGTGAAAGAGATTTTCCAGCTTGAACGCACGGGTTGCCCACGCTGCGAGCTGTGTTGGACAGTTTGCCTTTGGCGCGCATATCCTTCGCATGCTTGCACATGAAACAGTTTTACTTATGAGAGCCCCGGGGTCCCGCCTATTGTTTCACATAGCGATCTTCTGCTCCATATTAAGGCGGATCCGGCGCGGCATGGGGCTGGCGGTCATGGTCGCTTGGAAGAGTGATAGTGAGCATGGAGGGAGGCGTACGAAGCGGGAGCATGAGTTACCTCGTACATTTAATCTCCATTCTCAGTCTTTCAATGGTTTAGTTAGCGAAGAGACCGGACCGGTCTGAAAATGATATAGATCTTTCCCGCCGACTGCAGTTCATCCAAAATCAGTGCATTTTTGTGATTGGCCAGTTGAACCTGTATGTACCGGAGCAGATATGGCGGGATATTACGTAAGTAGGTGACGCTTACTTTGAGGGACTTCTGTATTACGTTTAAACGATACCGTAATCCACAGCTCGGGTTTAGTAAACTCTGAACCTGTTTACTGTACTATCATACACTGTTCTTCACCCATGCGATTTCTCACTTCGCATTTTTCCTTCTACCAAACAAAACCAACCACTAGGAGCACTTATTGTCAATGCGGACCGACTACCTGATGCTGCTAGCAGCGGCCATTGTGTTTTTACACATCCCTGCCTTGACGATGCCTGCGGCTGAAGCGAGGCAAACAGCAGCGAATATTATGTACCCAGTTCTCGATGGAGAACAGAACTTCCTTGGCAAGCGATCCCTAAGAACCGACCACATGAGAGTTAGCAATGTTGAGGACCGAGAAGGTGATGAAGAACGAATTTTTCGCCGATTTACGGATTGGATCAAGTACCTTTTTAACAAGATGAATCCGAAACAGTTACACATCTACTTGGGCTTAGATGGCCTTGGCGAAACGGCCTATCAGCACAAGAACTACCCGATCTATCTGATGAAGTCGAAAAAGTGGCGGGACAAACTATAAATCAAGAATCAACTCATGGACCGAGAAGGACATTGATGGCGGTCAGGATAAAAAAACTTAAAGCCCAATAATTACGGTATTGGCTCACTACAATAATTGATTATTGTCGTACTGACACAGTGAAGTATTACGTTTGGGCTCCTAACTTTATCGAAGCGAAACGATGGAAACCCATCGACACGGGTAGAACCGCTTACTTCTGTAAAGTATATGTGCCAACTTGCAAGCACTAACTATCAGGAAATCGCACCTGTTCTACAGGCTTAAAAGGGTTTTGGACCCTACTGAAGCTAAATATCAATGCCTTAAAAACGAAACATGAAAATGGGTTGCTTAACACATGGGCTTCCTGGATATACAGGTTGCTTGCATGGCGGGTAAGGTGAAGTACATGTATGCAATGCGACGCCGTCTCCGCAGCACTTGCCGCCAAATTTGGTTGCCCCTCGTGGCTCGAAGTGTCCGCCATGCACATACTGTATATATTTACTATAAAAACATTTCTACCAATTTTAACGATTGTTTTTTTACTTTGTTTTCTATTTTTCAAAATAGTGCATACATTAAACATATTGGGAGAGCTTTGGTAGTCAAATAAAGCATCAATGGTCACTTACAGAGGCTCAGTTAGAGAGGTGTGACTGTATATGGAATGTCGCTCCGTTTTATAGTTTGTACTCACGATAAAATGATACACTATTAATACTTTTGAGCCGCGATAGATCTCAAACTACTTACCTAAACTTAACGAAATGAATCACCACGTGGTTTATCTTTAAAGTAGCAACTAGGGCACCTTTGTAGTGCCAAAATGTCAGCTACACGACGCCGCCGAGTAAACTTTTTTTATAGGAAAGGAACTGGTCGACTTCTTCCACAAACACGAGGCCAGCACAATCACATCGGATGACCTATTGGCTGCTCATAGACAGTGATATTAAATCTAGCCTCAAAAACTACAGCCAGCCAGTATCGACTAACAGTAACCAATGTATGGCAGCACATAATAAATATTATTTAAAACACGCAACGATATGCTGTCAAAACGCTTACATGCTGAAGCTGACATTACCAGACCCACCTATTCTAGCATCGACAGCACTCGGGCGCTACATTGAGCTTTTGTATTTACTCATCAGTATAAAAAGGTATACAGAGCATGAGCAAGGAATGCTAACGACGTTAATGAGAACCCAGGTCATAAAACACAGGCGCAAACGTCGCAGTTGCTTCTTTCACCAAAATGGCTACATGTTACGATTTTCTTTAAATGACCATTTCTTTAAAATAATAGTCCATTCTCCATGTCTAAATCCCCCGATAAAGGTTTTTATTCACGATGTCATTTGCATCCTCGTACTTTCAGGTTCGATATCGTCGTGTTCTCCACCACCACGTTCAATCAAACCCATTCCTCCCTCAAATCTTTTATACAGCGTACCAAACAAAGCTCCTTATCTTTTGGCAGCACCGTGCCCTCACCTTTCGCTCGTGACTTTTTCTTTTTTCGAGTTTGGGCCGTGTTCGGCGCCAACAATGAATAAGTGTACGGCGGCTGTCATATTTAGACTGAGTAAAATCAGTATACAAATTACTCATCGATCGCTTGATGTCTCCACCACTTTCCTAGGGGTGTAGGACCTCTAGTTTGTGCGCCGCTGTGAAGAATGACACGAGGTTATTCCTCACTTTACGGCCTCGGCCTCCTGGAAGTCGTGGTCGCCCTTTTGGGCGGTGGCGTTGCGTAGAAGCCATCCGATGGCAAAATGCACAGACAGAAAGACAGTCCGTACGGCTGAATGCGATCGCTAAAAAGGATGCACGTCTTTCCCGCTCCGCCCCTGATTGATTGAAACCCTCCTAAATGTCATAGCAAATCGTACGTGATAACTAAGGAATTTTTGTAGATAGAGAAATCAGTTGGAATAGTTAGCCTGCGACCTAAAAGGGACAAAAAACGCCCTTTACAGTTTTTTTGATTGGCTAATAAGCGAACATTAGGAACGATTGAGGCGATGGCGACCACAACTATCGTGACAGGATGGTACAACGTACCTTCCCGGTAACATAACGCCGACAAATACGAAGATATTTACCCCAGCGACCAGTTTCTGAATGATGACGCGTTGGCGTTGATCAGTGGATGATGCTCGCCGCGGCGCTCGGTGTCGTGTTAGCGCCCAACACCAAATAAGCGGTGGGAATAACAAGTCTACGGAGCTAATGCAGCCTTGGTTAGCCTATAGACGGCCGCGATCAGACGGAGGCTGCTACATAATGCTCAAGATGCATCTTTAGCAATTACTTAGGGGTAGCTAGCTGGAAGCGAGGCAGAACCTTGACGCTGGTTTTGTACGGTTCCGTGGGTTGCGGTCAACTGGTGCATATATCTTACGCTATTTATGGACAAGTGAAACTTTGTAAAGCGCTTTGACGCCAAATCCTTCTCGCCCAAATTTTGCGAGCACATTACAATTTGATATCCCGACCTTCTGACTGCAACCGTGGAATTATCGTCAAGCCGTCTCGCACGACCACAGCATGCTAGCGGCGTCATGGTGTGGCGGAAACGTGGTCAACCTGGTGTCCAATGTGGATTCTTCAAATATCACTTGTGTGGCTCGAATGGCTGGCAGGGAGAAGCAGTTATATCTAGCCCCAGAATGTGCTGCCCAGTTCAACACAAATGTGCAGAATGTTGATCGCCTCGACCAAATTCGAGAACGATTTTCTACTGCGGATGGATATTTGTACAAACGATGAGACAAGAAGCTGACCCTCGCGCTTATTGACGTTGCACGGTCAAGCGCATATCTTACGTGGCGACTGGTGAAGACGGACCCAGCGACTCGTGACCCCCACAGATCGTTCCTGATGGGGCTGGTCGGTGATCTTTTGAACGGGCAGTGGAGGAATGCACCTAGTGGCGGTAGAGTGCTTAATAGTTGTGGAATGCTCGACAGCGGAGATGTGGGGCAAGTTGGCACACCTTCATCTCGGACACAACCCAGCAAGACTGCAGTGCTGCCAACAACGGCGTTCACATCGGTATCTTTAAGACAAATTCACGCTGAGAAGAGCCGAAAACGCCGGAGCTGTATTGTGTGTAGATGGGAGGGGCGCTGTCCGACCGAGGTCACCTAACATATGGTGTGTGTTTATGCCGGGTTGTACATGACCACCCCGCGAAACCATGGATGTGTCCGTCGACAACATCTACTTGCTGGAATAAATTTCACCCGTTCTACTTTCCTAATGGTCTGTTTACCGATGAAAGAAATGTACGTCGTCACTGTGATCTTGTGAAGCTGCGAGATGAGACCACAAACACCACGGCTTGCGACTGCTCGGCAGATTGGTTACGGGCTCGGTGGCGGCGGGCTCAGTGAAGGTGATGCTCAAGGCCATAACGCGTTTGGTCCGAGCGGCAGTGCCACGCCGCTTACCGTGCGTCAGGCGGGAATGCCAGCAAAGCTGCGCGAGAGCGTGAAAGGACTGATCGCAGAATAAGCAGGGATGCGGAGCGAGAGACTGTGCGTGGAAGTAGTGGCTGTGATACAGGACGACCTAGGGGCAATGACGCATATAGCTGTGACTAGGACAAGCTGGCGCGCGACCTTGGTGATGATGCTGCCGGCGTTGGCTCAGGCGATGTTGGTGTCGGACTTGGCGCTGCAGTTGGACTTAGTGGTGCAAGTTGTGGCGGCGCCGGCGGACTTGGTGGTACCACTAGCGCGACTGGTGGTGCTGCAGTTGGGCTTGTTGGTGCAGGTCGTGGTGAAGCCAGCGCCCGCGGACGTGGCGGATATATTCATGAGAGGCAAGTGGGATATGATAAAACGAATCATAGTTTCTTACGGTATATAAAGAGTGGATGGAGCGTTGCCTTCCAGCTAACATGTACTTCTATGTGATGATCGAGCTCCCAGCACTTGCAGCATGGCTCTGTGCAAGATGAACGATGACTCGGGCAGAAGAGCGACGTTGCAACTATCATCCGTGTCTCTGACATTGCACGTAGCTCTCGTAAATCAATCAGCTTAGCATTTTCTTCAAAGAGGAATA